ATTTGAATCTCAACTCCATCCTTGATAGCTCTGTGATCTTGGGCAATTTATTTAACCATTATGAGTCTCGAACCCTGTTGTAAAGCAGGGATGAGAATTAACTGCCTTCTTAGGCCTATTCTGAGTTTGTTTGTTGGTTTGGTGGTTTTTTGGAGCCAGGGTCTTGTTATATAGTTCAGGCTTGCCTTAAACTCACTATGTAGCCCAGGCTGGTCTCGAACTCCTGGCAATCCTCCTGCCTCAGCCTCCCCAGTGCTGGAGTTACAGGCATACACCACTCGGCCTGGCTGTGTTTTGAGATTTAAATGAGGTACTTTATTCAGAATGCCTTATATACATCACTTGACTCAGAATTAATGCTCAAACAGGAACTGCTCTGATGATTTTCTGTTTCCTAATCGTCGGTATCCAGACTTGTGAGTTTGTCAATAGTCAGATCCTGGACCACCCTGGGCTCCTGGGCTTTCAAAGATGTAGAACCAGGCCCTGCTAGAGCACAGCTTTGGGCAGCCTCCACCTTTACCTGCATCGGCAGCTGACTAGCTGACGTGTTGGTGAGACCTGAGTGGGGCATTAGCATAGGAGCCCCGCGTGGGAGCAGCAGTGCAGGTAGTGTTTTCGTCTCCATCCCGGCTCTGGGCTCTGGGCTCTGGGCTCTGGGCTCTGGGCAGCTCTTCTTGCTGGGTCTCGTTGGCAGGCACCTTGCCAGTTGTCCAGCCATGCTGTCGGTGCCCACTGGCAGACATTGTGTGGTACAGCAGAACTGATGGCCTCAGACCAGGGGCCAGGGGCTCAGGCAGGTCGCAGAGTAGCTGTGTGATATTAGCAAGTTGCCTCCCTAATTGAGACCTTGCTAAGAAAAATGAGGGTCTTGACCTGGGTGCTCTGTTAGCTTCCTTCCACCTGGATCCTTTGCTGCAGTGGCTCAAATGTCCAGCACTCCTGTTCTGGAGAGCATTTATGAGCTGTGGGTGCAGTCATAGAGGCCAGACCCCCTCCTAGAGTCGCAGCAGTAGCGACCCTCTGCCCCACCCTTGTGGATGACACTTGGTGAACACCCACTCCTTTTTCTTTTTTCTTTTTCCAGTACTGGGGATCGAACTCAGGACCTTGCACTTGTGAGGCCAAATCCTTGGCCCTTTCTTTTTTTTTTTTTCCCCTCCCCCTCATTCTTTCTATTTCTTTCTCCTTCCCTCTTCTCTTTTTCTTTTGTTGCATTAGGAATTGAAGCAGGGCCTTCACACCAAACTGTGTCCTCCACCCTTAGTGACACAGGAGTCACTAAGTTACCCAGGCTGGGCTCAAACTTGGGATCCTCCTGCCTCAGTTGTCCAGAGTGCGTCAGTCACAGGCTGAGTGCTTCCAGTCACACTTGACACTTGACTTGGACTGGTATGTAATGAGGGGCACTTCCCACATCCTTTTGTGAGCAGCCTTTGATGTTTCTCTTTGTGGAGCTGTTTCCATGAGAGCTCATAGTGCCCATGAGTCACGGAGATATTTAAATTCTTCCACTCCAGCTCGGGCCATGTTCTGCTGCCTTCTCCTCTCTGGGAGTGTTGTAGGCGACCTCATCCCTTCAGGGGGCTCCCTGGGCCTCTCGGTGAGTGACCCAGCATGTGACTTGTGCACAGCATGGAGCCTGGGGCCCAGGGCTCTTACTCGTTACCAGGGCCTGGGTCCTTGGTTAAAGTTTGCAGGTTAAATTTAGTGCCAAAGACTTCTAGGTGTCATCGGGGCAGCTGGCGTTCTCTGTGATTCTGAGATTCTCGTGTGCCTTTGGAGGTCCTATGTCTGTGATGACCCTGAGAAGCCCCTCGGTGAGGCCGATGTGGAAACTCTCAGGCGCCTCCATGTTTCTGTGACCCGGCCTGATGCCCACCTCCCTCCTGTGAGGGATCTCCCATAACAGACCTCAAAACCCAATCCCCTGGACCGTGTGGCTCCGGCTGGGACACTTTCCCACAGCTCTGGACCTTGGGGAGGTCTGTGTGGAGCGGGCTGTCCTGTGGCTGGCAGGTAGATGGCTGCCTTCGTGCCGTGTGCCTCTTTGGCACCAGTGAGTGGAGGAGTAAGAGACCTCTCTTCTTATGAGGGCTTCGGTGAGGACCTCATCAAACTGCTTACCTCCCAAGGGTCTCCCCTCCAAATGCAGTCACACTGGGTGCCAGGGCTTCAGTGTGTAAATATTTTTTGGTGACATAGACGTTTGGTCTGTGAGAGGAGCCTTCTGGAAGCCTCCCTCCATGACCATTTACTGCCTGTCAGCTGCAGCTTAGTAATGGAGCCCGTGGCTGAACCCTGACACTTAAAGGCCCTGTGCCCCAGGGAGGTGGGGAAGAGGGACAGTGGATGTGGGACACATGCCCAGTGCTACCCAAATGATCAAGTGACTGGGGTTGGTCAGGTGACTGGGGATGGTGGAGAGGTGCAGCCTGTGTTCTCTCAGCCACATGGAGACTTAGCCCTCCTGTTAGCTGGACTGTGACATGTGGTACAATGCAGCAAGTGTGCTCTTGTGCCTGGCACAGGTCGGAGGGAATCCTGTGGAGAGGCCACACACTGGCCAGGAGTTGGGCGGAGAGCATGCTGGGAAAGGCCCCTGAAAGCAGGCCTCGTCCTCCTGTGTGGAGCTGAGACCCTTACTGCTCCTCATCGGAGGCGCAGTGAGGTGTCAGGAGGGTTGGGGCCGTGGTACAGGAGCAGCGTTTCAGGGGGACCCCCGAGGGGACCCCTCCTCTTGGCTGAAGAAGAGATTTGTTTATAATTCCAGCAGGAGGCCTAGTTGAAAGAGTTTACTCTTCAGTGTTGCTGACATGAAATTCTAAGATTTCCTAAAAATCAAACAAATGCAGGTCCTGCTTTAGACACTGTTGGGCTCCTGTGGGGTAACTACAGTCATCTCTTGGCATTTGTCTGAGGCTAGAGGGAGGCTGGCCTGAGAGGAGAACCAGGGATGGCCCAAGGCCCAGGCCGGGAAGGTGAGCCGTGTTGCTGAGAGTGAGTTGTGCCATCTGCTCGCTTTTCGGGTTGGGCACTTCTAGTGAGCTTGGGCACTGTCCCCGTGTGTAGCTGGGGCACTCCAGAGAGGACACAGGTGACCGGGCCACAGCAGGCAGGTCCCTGGGCCAGTTGGGTGGGAGAGTTAGCCTGGCGTTCATCCAAGGCCTCCACTCCTGATTCCTTTTTAAAGCATTCGTCCCCAGGCCTTGCCAAATCTCCGACAGGTACTGACATGTTCTGGCATGTGTCTTCGGAGCCCCAGATGCCCCCACCCCACCCCCAGTCCCCCAGCAGCTGCCAGTCCACCCAGCTCATGCTCAGCCTCCTGTAAGAAGGCTTCCGGGTCCGCCCTGTTGGAAGTTAGTTCTCCTCATACTCCCTGCCTAGATCTTCTCCCTCCTGGGGTGCCTTGCTCCGTCTGTGTGAGGGGTTCAGTCCCTGAGCAGACAGCCCTGCCTGAGGGCGGGAGCCTCTTCGCTGTGCGTTCCCTGCAGGGAGGGTGGAAACCACCCGGTCACTCCAGGTTGCTGCCCCAGGGCCTGTGTTGCCTCAAGCCTCTGAGGTTTTTCCCCTTGACTGTCTTCACAAAGTGTCCCCAGCCTGTGGGTTTCTGCAGATTTCCTCTAAGTCATGTGAGGATCTCTCTGGGGAAGGGCAGGGCCCCTGCTGAGTCCCAGGGGCTGCCCCTGGGTGCCCCATGGGGCTTGTGTAACTGACTTGGGGATCTGGCTAACAGGTGGGGGCGGGATCCTCAGTGGCTCTGCATTTGTTCGCGTGGTGGTGGTGAATTCACGGTGAGCCCGCAGAGTGGGGTGGGCTTCATGTCCTGTTCCTGATTTTTGATGCAGTCGCACAGTTGCGGGCCCTTTACCCCACATCTGAGGGGCCTCCTGTCCAAAAGAAACAGAGTATTAGTCACCCACATAATTTTAACTTTCCTGGTAGTCACAGTAAAAAAAATAAAAGGAAACCGATGACATTAATTTTAATCTCTTATTTAGCCTGGTGTACACCAAATATTTCACTGTGCAGTGAACATAAAAACTACTAATTGAAGCTGGACATGGTGGCACGTGCCTATAATCCCACCACTCCGGGAGGCTGAGATAGGAAGGTCGCAGGTTCAACCCCAGCCTGGGCAGTTTAGCAAGACCCTGTTTCAAAAAATATAAAAAAGACTGGGGATTTAGCTCAGTACAAGGGCCTTGGGTTCAAAAAATCTAATGAAATATTTAACATTCTTTTTTGTACTGTGTCTTTAAAATTAGGGGTGTTTTGGGCCGGGAATTTAGCTCAGTGGTTTCGCTGCCTGCTGCGCAAGCACAAGGACCAGAGTTCGATCCCCGGTACCAAAAGAAAAATTAGGGGTGTTTTGCACAGTTTGGATTAATCCCAGTTCAAATGCTCAAGAGCCACGTGTGGCTGGCTGGTGGCCACTCTGGAGCAGTGGTCAGTTCCAATCTGTGTCCACTCTCCCCAGTGCCCCTTAAAAGTAGGAGCCGTGCTTACAGTCAGGCACTGTCTGGGAGGGACCGTGCCAGGCTGCCACACTGCCAGGGTCTGGTCGCAGCGCTGCTTCTCACTGCCATGGGACCCTGGGAAGCCTGTGCTTCACTGCTCCCGACCTGGAGGAGAGGACGACACTCTCACCGTCCGCCAAGGGCGTCCACACGTTGCACCTTGCTCTGGGCAGGGTAGGTGGTGGGGACTGCGGTGTCCCTACCGTGGTCTCCTTAGAGAGCCAGGCCTTCCGAGAAAGCCCGCAGTGGGCTGTACCTGTTGCCGTCTCGGAATGTAGCTGAAGGCTGAAGTTTATGTCTCTACTGTTGGACCCCGGACTGAAAATCATCTGCTCCCTGGCCTGGTGCCTGCCGTCCCAGCAGGCCCCGTTCCCTGTCCCACATAGAAGGACCTGCAGGTGGCAGCCCGTGCCCACAGTGGAGGAGTGAGGGGCGGGGAGTCACTGCCTGGGCCTCACGGGGTTCTCTGTCACACAGGCTCAGCTGGAAGCTCAGAAAGCCACGCAGGACTTCCAGAGGGCCACAGAGGTGCTTCGAGCCGCCAAGGAGACCATCTCCCTGGCTGAGCAGAGGCTGCTGGAGGACGACAAGCGGCAGTTCGACTCAGCCTGGCAGGAGATGCTGAACCACGCCACGCAGAGGGTAGGTAGGAGCAAAGCCGTGTGCGCCCGTGGGGTGTTGCACTTGTGTGCCTGTGCATGCAGTGGTCCCCGAGCACCGGTGACAGACTACAGTGCTGCCCTCTAAGTCACAGGTGGTGGTCTCCGTGTGGTCTCTTGGCTGGGCCGGCACTAAGCCGGATCGGGTGGGAGTCGCCCAGTGACCGAGGAGCTGCTGCTCCCCTGTACTGCTGGAGGCCCTGATGGTGGACTTGGGCTTCCCAGAGGGACCGGGCCATTCTCTGGGGCCTGAGATGGGGATCTGGGTGAAGCCCTGACCGAAGCCATGCTGGATCTGCACGTGGGACCTCGGTAGATGACAGCAGAGTCAAGTGGGTGCTCAGGCCTGGCCTTCCAGGACGAGGCCAGGATTCGGGGAGTTGATGTGGAGTGGACTTCCGACGGCCTTCACTGAGTATTTGACTTCCTGAGTTGCGTGCCGCTGCATCCAGGACCTCTGCAGTCACATTGCTGAGAATCAGAAGTGATAACTTAGTTTATTTGGCCTTTTAAAACAAAATACCATCAACAGAGTGGCTTATAAACAACAGAAATTTAGTTCTCACAGTTCTGGGGGCGGAGGAGTTCAAGATCGGGGCCCTGGCAGATGCAGCTGTGAGGACCTGTGTCCTGGTTCATAGAGGCCTGGCTTTCTCTGTGTCCTCACCACGGAGGGCGAATGAACTCTGGTCACACACGTGCCTCCCTCGGGACCAGTCTCTTCCCCAAGGCCCACCTCTTGTTCTCTTTTGTTGTTGCTGTTGTTTTGATAGAGTCTTGTCATATAGCCCAGGTTGGCCTTGAACTCACAGTGGTCCTCCTGCCTCAGCCTCCCAAGTGCTGGGATCACTGGAGTGTGCGCCCCACACCCAGCTCCCTTCCATCTCTTGATTCGCTTTCCTCTTGCGAAAGTTCTGTCGCCTTTTTCCTGTTATCTATCTTTTCTCTTGCTCCTTATTTCTATTTTGACTTCCCTTGGCCTTTCCCTTTTCGTTGTCACCTGGCACAGCAGCTCAAGTCCCGGGGGATCTGATAATCAGAGATGGCCTTGAGTGGCCTTAAATAGAAAGGCACAAATGACACAAATGACCTCAAGAGTCAAATTTGCCTTGACTTCAGGCCTTGTCTCCCAGAAGCCTGGGACTGTGTGTGGCCTGGCCAGGCTTTGTGTGGCCTTGAGCTGCCCGCCGCCTAGTGGATATGATGAGCTACATGCATGCTGGAGACAGTTTTGCAGGTTCAGCTCATGAAAAACCAAAGAGGAGGTTAGAAATCTTGGAAATATATAAGTCAAAGACTGAGAGATGTTAAAAAAAAAAAACCAAACCTGCAGGTCTGCCTCTCCTTTTTCCATGCCTGCCATTCCAGCTGACGACCCATTTAAGTTTGTAAAAAGTAATTTCAGAAATCACTGAATCTCAGGAACAAACCATGCTGTTTTCCTTTTTTAATTTTTTTTGCTTTAAAAAATTTTTTTTATTAATACATGTTTATAATTTATAATGATCACATTCATCATGGGGAGTTGGGCTTCTGCTTTTCTTAAGACTTCTTCTTTTAGGGCCGGAGATTTAGCTCGGTGGTTTCGCTGCTTGCTGTGCAAGCGCAAGGACCTGAGTTCGATCCCCACCGCTGGGCCCACAGAGCATGTTCTTTGAATGACATGCAGAACCCACCCTTCCCCAAGGGCAGATGCTTGTGTTTGGCTTTGAAGTAGCCTCAGGTGACCTGGACATCTGCCAGCTTTCTCATGTCCCCAGATGGGGCTCACTTCAACAGTCTCCCAAGGCAGCCTCCCGGGCCTGCAAGCTCAGCTTGCTGAACACTGGTTGTTGAAGACACTGCAGGGTCTGGAAAGTATCTCCTGGCTCAGGTCTTCTGAGTCCTCTAGGAAGCCCCCTTCCACATCTCTACACATTCCTCATCAGAGGTTATCCATATGACCCCCCTGTTTCCCTAGATGTCCTGCAGTGACATCAGGGGCCACACTTGGAACCACGCCTGAAGCCAGCACACTAGGAGGTGTCAGGAGCCCTAGTGTCCTCTAGGCTACACGGAATACCACAAACCGGAGCAGTTTTCTGCTGGGTACAGCCATACCTGCAGTTGTAGGCTCCCTGGGTCACAGAGCTTGGGTCCCTGGTGCTTGCCGCGGGAGATTTGGGCATCAGGGGTCCCTCCAGCTGTAGCAGCTTTGGCCTCAAGGGGAAGGTCCTGGCTTTCTGTCCTCTGAGATGGGAGAGCTGGCAGCCTGGGAGGGAGGAGTTGGCGTTGCTAGTGAAGGAGGAAAGAGACCCTATGGAGGAAGAGGGGATGTGACTTGAAGTCACAGCATATAACGTGGCAGCAGGTGGCTGCTAGAGAGAAAAGGACAGGACAAGGCCAGCCTCCCCTACCCCAGGCCTGGAGCGGATGTAAGGCCTGGGATGGCAGGACAGCTGCCCTGAGATGGTGGGTCTATACCACTGCACTCCCTTCCGGGTCCCCCTGACAAGGGGTAGAGTAAGAATCAGGACAGTGGGAAGGCATGCGGTGAGGGCTTTGCCATCTGGGCAGAGGACCTGAGCTGTGCTCTGTGGGGCTGGGAAGAGAGAGAGAGGGCCCAGAGAGGCCCTGGGAGGCCAGGGAGCTGTGCCCTGTGGATGTCCACTGATCAGCATGGGACCCAGCACAGAAGCTGTGCCCTGCAAGGCCGGCACACTCATTCTGTGCCCATGGGCCGGGGTTGAGCAGACACACCCTTCCTCCACCATCCCTGGGCCCTTATGCCCTAGTTGCTCTGGGACTCCTGGGAGTAGGGGAGGGGCAGTCACTCTTGGCGACACATCTCTCTCTAGGTCCTGCTGGGCCAGGAGGGGCTAGGGCGGAGGCCTGTGGCTTTCACAGCATCCTCAGCCCTGGCAGCTAGCAGCCTGTGTACTTCTGAGGGGCCACTGCCACCTGCCTGGTCTGACGCTGGTGCTGCGGCTGTCCTGACTGACCTGTCCCGCACAGTTCAGCCACTTAGTTCTGCAGGGCCCAACCTGTCCCATGGGGCACCAGGGGTCGTCAGTTCTTGGGCAGGAGTGTGTATCTGTAGGTTTTGGGAGCCCTGGGAACGCCTGGCTTCTTAGTCTGTAGGCGGGGCCAGACACCTTCAGAACTGACAGACACCTCGAGTCATCCTCAGGACCAACCCACGCTGGGGAGAAAGTTCTGCCCATGCGGAAGGGAGTTGGACAGTTGCTTCCTTCAGCTGGGGTCACTGGAGCACTCCAGCTTAGGGGAAGGAGGCAGAAAGCAGGACACAGTGCTGTCTTCCCTTGTGTGACCTGCATGTCATCCCATAGCCTGCATCAGAATGCTTCCTCCTTCCTGTCCATTACCCCAGACAGCACATACGGAAGACCCCTCTCCAGTGCCACCTCTGCTGTCACCGCCATCCCAGCCAGCTGGACCCCTCACTGCCTTGAATGAGTCACTGCAGCTGAGAGTGTCCCCACCTGCTAGGCCGCCACCCAGGGTTTAGTCTCAGGGCCTTGCCCCCAGTAGGTTCTTCATCCGCATGTGAGCCTGCATTGACTATGATGTGGTAAAATGGAAGAGCACCCTCCAGAGAGGAAGGCAAGAGTTCTGGGGTCCAGACCCCAAACGTCCAGTTAACATGAGCTTCAGGGAGTGCAGGGCGACCCTAGGGAGGTTCGTGGGCCTTGGGGCTGAGGTGCACATGCCCAGCCAGCCACAGCACCTTGAGGACGTCTTTATTGTCCTCTGTGGCTTCAGCCCGTCCCTCTGGGGTCCTCTTCCCTCATCACCCGCCCTGCCTCCCCATAGGCACACAGCGCAGGGCTGCTGCTAGGCTGCAGCTGGAGGGCTCCTTGGTTACCTAGGAGATGCACCAGGCAGCACGTACGGGGAGGGCAGTGCGGGGAGCTCCTGAGGTGGGAAGCTCCCTTGGAGGGGGCGTTGTGCAACTGCGTGGGCAGGCAGAGATCCAGACAAGGAGAGGAGGTGAGGCTCGGGCAGGCGGAAGTGGGAGTGTGTGCTTGCCACCTCCTCAGTCTTCCCTGGCGGTGTTGCCAAATAAAAGCTTGGAGCACGCTCCGCGTTTAATTTTAGAACCCCTTCGCTTCTGCAGGCAGCCGGGGGGCCAGGGTAGAATGAGGGGCTGTATGCTGCTGGTGAGAACTGCCGAAGGGGATTCTTTCGGTTGGGTAGCCATGCATTACAGCTTTTATAACCCAGTCTATGTGAGATGCTGTAAAGGTGAGCCCCCCCCCCCGGATCCTTGTGTGTGGCACAAGTCACACCCAGTGTGTTGCTTTTGATGAGCTGGGGTTTTTCTGTTATCTTAAAGGTGACACCAGCAAATCCTTTAAGACAAGACCGCAGAGTTACTGTGTTTCCAAGTGTCAAGCATGAGATGTTTTTAGTGCTTTTTGTTTCCTTGGGAAATATTTGGTGTTAGATGCAAAAGGAAAAGGTCTTTGAGATCTTTGATCGTGGAGAAGCCATCTCGGTAAGCGTGTCATCTCATGCCAGCAGAGCTTGGGTCCCCCCTATTTTCCTTCTCTGATAGTTTTCTGTTTTAGAAATTACCTCAAGCTTCTGTTAAAAGATACGGCTTTAATAAGGTAGAAGCACAATTGTGATACAAATATAAAATGTTCTCATAGCAAAGATAGTATTTAACTGATTAAGGAGGGAACTAATATGTAAGATGTTAAAACAGTTCTTGAGACTTTTTGAATTCAAAAGATATTTAAAAATTCATAGAAAATCAGTAATGCAGAAGTCTATGTAAAAACAGATGCAGAACTGGCCATTATTCACAGGTAGTCAGTAATTGCATCTTTGATTAGGACACAGTTCATCTTCATTTCTCTGGATAGGAAGTATTTGTAACAATCTACGAATGTAGCTCAGTGGTTTAGCAGTTGTCTAGAATGTACAAAGCTCTGGCTTCAATCAAAGGACTGCTATGAAAAAAAATCATTTGTAGCTTGGTGTGACAGTGCATGCTTATTGTGGGGCTGAGGCAGTAGAATCAAGTTCGAGGCCAGCCTAGGCAACTTAATGAGATCCTGTCTCAAAATTAAAAGGGCTGAGGATGTGTGTGCCTCAGTTGGTGTAGTGTTTGCCTATGTGAGGCCCTGGGTTCAATCACCTGTCCTGCAAAGGCAGGGGAAGCGGGTTGACACCAGAAAACCTCTCTTCTATATTACTAGCACTTTCCAGTAACTCACAGGATGGAAAAAGAGCTCTAAGACAAGGTTGGAGATCACCTGGGAAGATCCCTAGACAGGACACTCCACCATATTTTTGTTCCAGATCAGTCTTTCATAATTTTTCCTGATACCTTTAAAACGCCTTTTTATAAGTGAATAAAAAAGCCACCCCAGGGCCAACTGGCTGTGGAGCGGAGAAGGTAGAACACAACAACCTCCTGCGGGAACCTTGAGTTACAGGCATCAGGCAGGGGTGGATGGGCAGGATTCCTAAGACTGACAATACCCGTGAGCCCTCTGGCGTCCTCCCTGATACTCCTCAGGTAAACGGAGAACGGCCTGTTAGTCTAACTTGGCTGTGATGCTGTGTGAGACAGCAAAAGATGAGTAAGATGTGACCAGCTGCTTGTGTGGTGGACCTGTGCTGCCCTTCCTGCCTCTCCCCTCGGGGCAGGCCTGGTTCTGAGGCTTTGCCTTAGGAAAGTGAGGAAAGAAATATTGCTCACGACTCCAGAAATGTGCCTTGATTTGGGCTACCGAGGACCCTTGATTTCTTTCACTCATTTTTATCCACAGATTTTTTATCAGTGTTCCCACCAGAATATCCTCACCCCAACTCTGCCCTGCCTCCTAGTTACAGATTGTTACAAACCTCAATATCTGATCTGAATGAAGTGGTTGTAAATTTAAATGTAAAGTTGGATCCTGGATTTTTCTGTGCCCAGCCAGCAAATTCAGGATGTTTTGGAAAGAACCAGACAGCTGAAATCATGGTTGCCTTGTGATCCTGACTGTTCTGCTTTGCTAGCTCCTCCTTACGGTGTCCCTTCAGTCCCCACAGGTACCCATCAGCCCCTGTCCCAAGGGGGTTCCCTAGAGCAGGGGACCTAAGCAGAAGAAAGCAGACATCGATTCAGTCTGAATATTTCAAAAATGTCTCTAATTTTTATTTTTCCATTTCCCCCCATTCATGGCCAGACCCAGCTTGGCCACTGAATCATACAAGACCTTTGCAAAATAGAACAGTAGGAAGGAATGTCCTATTTCATTGGGAAGTTAGTTTAAACTTAATCTGCCTGCTAATTTCCGCAAAGAAGATTTTTTAAAAGCGCTAAGTCGTACCCCAACCGGAAGCTGATCTGGGCTTACCAAGGCTGACCACTGTTTTCATTTGAAGGTCATGGAGGCGGAGCAGACCAAGACGAGGAGTGAACTGGTGCATAAGGAGACAGCAGCCAGGTACAATGCTGCCATGGGCCGCATGCGACAGCTGGAGAAGAAACTCAAGAGAGCCATCAACAAGTCCAAGTAAGCCCGGGCAGCCTTCCCTGGGTCGTGTGCTTACCCTCTTCCACATGTGCTCAGCCTTTGCGCAGCATGCACCAGGACGACCTGGACTTGGCAAGACTTTGACCCAGAGCCCCATCCAGGCTCCCTTCCCGCTTGTTCTATAGGACGCTGAGCCAGAGGACACTGAGCAGCAGGCTGCTCCATACCAATGTGGGAGAGACAGAGCAAGGAATATCAAAGCAACCATTATATGGCCCACAGGCTGGGCTTTGGGGAATTCCGGTAGTACATGTGGCTCTGTGGTTGACTGGACAGGGCTTTGTCCCTCAGTTTACCTGTCAGCATAATGGGAATAAATTCCCTTCCTAGTACATGTTCTCTGTAGATAAATGCTGTAAGACTAGTTTAAATGGAGCTTTTCTCGAGTGCATCTCACTTTACCACCCTTTTATTTTTACAAAATAATGTTTCTGGTGGGCAAGTACAACTCTTGGGGACAAGCCCCTGCTCCATTTGCATTTGCAGGGCCTCCAAGCAAAAGGGGCAGAACTTTCACTGGCCCCTTCAGAGACAGACCTGGAGCAGAGCATGCATGCTGGGCTACTGATTGCCTCTGAGTGGGGACACAGGCTCACCTAGGAGGGGCTGGGCAGCTGGAAGCTCAGCATGGGCCCAGCCTCCCCCGAGGACGAGGCTCCGAACAGAAGAGCTTGGTCCTCTTCTGCTGTGTCTCCCCCTGCACTCGTCTTTGACTTCCGCCCGCTCGCCTTTGGCATCCATGTGTACGCACATGAGCAGATGAATGTCAGCTGCAGGGGATGTGTGTGTATATGGCGTTCTGTACACCGGAGGAGGTGAGAGGGTGGCCACAGGGCACGTGCCTGCCCCGGTGAGTGCCCCCAAAAGCGGGGAAGCAGCCCCTCGCGCGTCTTCCTTCAGCGCAGTACGACGGCTCTTCTCTCCAACGCCCTCCACCCCCTGCGCACATCTCACACACTTACCTACTCCCTCACCGCCTAACCCATTAAAAAGTCAGAACTGTTCCGGCCTCACTGCCGACCTTTCCAGAATGCTGGAGGAGTGTAGGGCCAGACCGTGCACCTCGGGTGGCTCCTCCTGACTGTAGGCTGGGGCCCATCTCTGCATTCCACGGCCTGGCGCCCAGCCCTCCTTCAGCCCCACTCCGCCTCTCCACCCTCGATGTGGCTGCTCTCGCTCCTTTCTCCTGGACATCTGCCCTGCGCTGCTCATGCCTGTCTCCACGCCCTATGCTACCTGATGTGTGTTCCTGTGGTCCCTTCGGAGCGCCTGTACCCTCCTCTTTGCAAGTTTCAGGTTTTCTGTGCTCACCAAAGGTGTCCTGTGCTGTCCGTGTCACATTAACGGTGAGGGAGGAGTGGCACCGCTGCCTTGCCCAGCAAGAGGTCTGAGCGGCCCCTTCCCCAGCCTCATCTGCCGACACTGTTGGGGCACAGCCAGGCCACCTTCGCTGCCAGGCACAGCCAGATGACCTTGAACAGCCTCCCTAGACAGGAAGAGAACACGGGGCCCCCAGTACCTGGAGATCAGCCAGGGTGAGACCAGCAGTGGGTCCTGTGTCATTTGGGTGCTAGGAAATGCTCCCAGCATCACCCTTATCTCAGGTCCCAGTCAGAGCTTGTCACAGAGCCCGGCAGGGAGACCTGGCCAGCTTATAGTAGTGCCTCTTGTGCATCTTGTAGACTTTTATCATTTGCTTTTATGATTTTTCCCTTCCTATCTTCACAGACCTTATTTTGAACTCAAGGGAAAGTACTACGTGCAGCTTGAGGTATGTGCGGCCTTCAGATTTGTCACAGATGAATGTGTTTTGTTTTGTTTTTTTGAGGCAGGGTCTTACTGTTTAGTTCAGGATGGCCTTAAACTCACTATGTAGCCCAGGCTGGCTTCAAACTCATGACGATTCTCCTGCCTCAGCTTTCTGAGTGCTGGGATTACAGGCATGTGCCACCGTGCCTGGCTCACAGATGAGTATTTTTCTGCACTGAAAGCCTGGCTTTAATATAGTAGCAGGCTTTCTAATGACCCATTTACTGCATGGGGAGAATGGAGGGACACATTCATTTTCAGACCTCAAAATGGTCTAAGTTGGCTCTTCCGTTGTGTCTGAAGTTACCCTTGCAGATTGTTCCAGGCCTGTGATTCTTCTCGTGCATCAGCAGCACTTGGAAACTTGCTAGACATGCACGTTCCTAGACACCCCACCCCCAGCTCAGAACCTCTGGGTAGGGCCAGCAATCTGAGTTGTAGCCCACTCCAGGGATTCTGAAAGAAGTTTGAAAACCACGGTACTGGGAACCAGGCGGCAAGACTAAGACCTGTGTTGGATGCCCAGTGCTTCTTCCCTCTGGGCTGTAATCCATGTTTGTGGCTATTACAGCTGTCACCAAATGGGACGTGGGGTGGGGTGGCTGATTTTCTGCCTGGTGAATGGACAGTGGCAATGAGTGAGCAGCCCCTCCCTTAGTCATGTCTTAGGAAATTGTCTGATGTGGAATCCCATGGAGAAAATGCACTAAACCTGGCATTTGAAAAGCACCTTGAGCCCCACGGGGCCAGCTTTCACTTACGCAGCCTCCCATCTTCCCAACAGCAACTGAAGAAGACAGTCGATGACCTGCAGGCCAAACTGACCCTGGCGAAAGGAGAGTACAAGACTGCCCTGAAGAACCTGGAGCGGATCTCGGATGAGATCCACGAGCGGCGGCGCTCCAGTGCCATGGGGCCTCGGGGCTGTGGCGTGGGTGCCGAGGGCAGTGGCACATCTGTGGAGGACCTGCCCGGGGGCAAACCTGAGCCGGATGCAGTTTCTGGTGAGTCAGGCAACTGGGTCACGACTGTGCTCTGTTCCAGGGCTGTCTTGGCCCAAAGTCCCTGCCCTCTCTGCCCATCGCTGAAAGATTTCAGAGTTGGGCCGCCCTGCTGTTATTTCCGGTGGTTTCCAACATTTTGTGGAACACTGTGCTCATCAAGATGCTGCTAAATGGTACTCACAAGTCAGGATTCCGTGGTCCTGTAAGTTTGGAGAATGTCGTGCTTGTGTCCTCCCATGAGAACGAACACTCATGGTTCTGAGAAGGCCTGCAGCAAAGAGTTGTCTTAAGAATACTTTGGAATCTGATCTGATTCAAATCCTGGCCTTCACATCATTCCGAATATTTGAACTCTGATTCTTCACCCGCAGAACGGAACATGTGATACTGTCTGCTCTTGCTGTGTAGGGCAGTGGTTAGGGTCATTCGAGAAGCCTGGCACCCATGAAGCCCTCAGCAGTGAATGGTGGCTCCCACTGGTGTCTGACCTTGGAGACCTTGGTCTTGCCTTCCGCTGCAGTCATGAAGAGCATGCTTTGAACACTTCATTACTTTGGCTTTTCTCTGGAGTAATCCCTGGTTGGCTTTATCCCAGGCTCCTTTCTTAGTGATTCTTTAACTCCATCAACTTGTTTGGATACCAGATCCAAAGGAAATTAAGCAAGGACTATGTCAGTTACTTTATTATCATTCTGTAAAACCTTTATGGAGAGGATCCTGAAACTCAGAGAGGTTAAATAATTTGGCAAGGCCACAGCACTGGAGTCAGGATCTGAATTCAGGTCTCAGTCCATTTTCTGTCTCCAACATTATAGTTCTTAATTTTTAACAGTCCTCTATGGAACTCTACAAGGCCATTTTTAAAGATGCAGGAGGTAAAGGAGAGTAGGAAGGACATAAGAAACAGAACTGTGTACAGGCTGAAGGGAAAAACAGCTAAAGGCTGACGAGGCTCTGAAGCCACAGGGTGATGTATCTCTGGGCCTTGGTTACTCTGGTCTGCAAGTGAAGGGACAAGCTACAGCGCACTGCAGAAGGATTTTGTTCTTTGTAGCAAATAGTGATCTAGGCAGGCTCTGAGTGGGTCTCTTGAAAGATCAGAAGTCACCTGGAAGGAAACAGAAGACTCCACAGATAAATCTTCCATACAGGGCTGTTCTTCCTGCAGCTCTTGCTTCTGCCCTGGTGGAAGCCCTTTAGTTGTCTTTGGAAGATTGGCTGAATTCATCTTTCATCTTTAAGCAGTATCTGGTGACTTCAGGGGTCAGGTTGCTTTGTTAGGGGCAGGGATTCCACAGTCCCCTGCGGGGTCCAGCTGCCGAGAGCAGCAGAGAGCACTTTGGCAGGGGTTTAAGGATCTAGGTTACTATCTATCACACCCATGTGACTGGTATTCTCTCTCTTAGTGGCCTCAGAGGCTTTTGAAGACGACAACTGTAGCAACTTTGTGTCTGAAGATGACTCGGAAACTCAGTCTGTGTCTAGCTTCAGTTCAGGACCAACAAGCCCACTGGAGACGCCAGACCAGTTTCCTGCAGTCTCGAGGCCCGGCAGCCTGGACCTGCCCAGCCCCGTGTCCCTGTCGGAGTTTGGGCTGCTGTTCCCAGTGCTGGGCCCCCGGAGTGAGTGCAGCGGGGCCTCTTCCCCCGAATGTGAGGGAGAACGAGGTGAGTGGCAGCCCCGCCAGCCCTGCCCTGCCTGTGCCCCCCCCCCCATGCCTGTGCTGTTCTGTGCCTCTGCCCGGGGCCACGCTGCTGGTGGCAGTCAGCTGAGACGATTTCCGGGGGCTGCTCTGTGGGCTCCTGGCTCTTCCTGACCAGCGTGAGGAAGGAGAGCTCAGGTCCTCGCCTGCTAGAGGGAAGGGTTTCCCAGCTACATAATGAGAGTGACTAATTTAATCTGATTATATGGAATATACAAAGTGATATAAAGAATTAAACCAGTAAATGATTACATGGTGAAGAACCCTCTCTGATCTGATCTAACGTGTGTTGGGAAATGCTGGGAATTCCAAAGGGCTGGGCTGGGCTGGGCTGTTCGGCCGGTTTGTGCCTAATTAATTTACAGTACTTAGTAGATGACCTTTTCCCCCGACAGGAGACAGGGCAGAAGGGGCAGAGAATAAAACAAGTGACAAAGCCAACAACAATCCAGGTCTCAGCAACAGCAGTGGTGGTGGCAGGGGTAGGAGCCAAAGCAGCACCTCCCCCGAGGGCCAGGCCGTGGAGACCCGGATGAAGCAGCTGTCCCTCCAGTGTTCAAAAGGAAGAGACGGGATTATTGCTGACATAAAAATGGTGCAGACTGGCTGATCCACTGAGCTGTGGCCCATGTGCAAAAGAATATTTCTATACGAAACTGGAGAACATTGTGCCAATAACCATTTAACATATGCCAAATCGTACGCATTTACTCTAAACTGCACTAATGAAGTTTCAGTGACCTTGAGGGCTGAAGAGTTTCCTTCCAGTGAGAGCTCTTGGTTTGTTTTCCAGAGCAGAGTTAACGCAGGTGGACTGTGAACAGGGTCACGGCCTTTGCGGAACATTCCCTGTAAGAGGGTTATGGAAGCAATAACTAGTTCCTGTGAAGGAACCCAAGCCAGGAATGGGGCTGGAAGCTTAGCTAAACTGGAGGCCATAACTTGAGTCTCTCCCTTCTCTGGCCCTCAGTTCTGGGAAACTGACATGTTCTCTCCATTATATCCCAGGGCATTGAAATAGTTCAAGAAACCTACACACAAATAAAACAACTCAAGGGTGCAAAGCACACCTTTCTGACCTAGTGACGGCTTAAAAATTCCAAGAACACAATTCATTTTCATCACCTCTGGTGTTCAAGGGGGGCTTTTAAAAAAAGCATGTATGCTGGGACACTCATTAAAACCATTTCCTAGGAAGGCTACCATGAACTGCACTTTCAGGGGTGGGAAAGGTGAATGTCAGCGTGGGGCTGGGGGATGAGAGTAGCAAGGACACATCACACATCAGAAGGGGATTTGTGGCTGTAGGAAAGAAGGGTCTGTAACATAACCTTACCCTGCCAGCCAAGGGGATTTATTCTAAGAGAAGCGCATGTGAAGAATGGTTGCCATTGTTATATCTAGATTGACAAGGTGTTCATTTCTATCTAGGCTGTAACTTTAAAAATAAATGAAATTATTTAAGGGTTATGCTGCACTAGTTTTCTTAGAGGAAATTGTCCTTCAAGCTAGGAAAGGGAGTTGGCATGTGTTGGCAAAGGCTGTTAAATAGAAGCAATGGAGTCTGTTATGCTACTAGCAGTGTTAAGACTGCTTTTCTTTAATGTTTTCTTGGCTATGCATATTTAGAGTGCTATATTTCATGTGTCTTATTTTGTTAGGAAAATTTAGCATTTCTAAAAGAAAAAAGCCTCCCCATTTCAAGTTGTTACTCCTGTCCCAGCTTGTATATTTTAGTCATCTGTATCTCTTCATACTGTAGTAGTTCTTTTTATTGACTGATACAGTATCCTAATTACAAGGTTATTTTGTACTTGTCTTAATACCTTGAGTGTAATAAAAACTGCTTAAGAAAAGTTCATGTGACTTCAAATAAGTTCCAGTGTTGCCTAACTCTTCTGTCCTAGGTAACCCTTTATCATAAAGAAGATCATGGAATGCAGTGGTCATTTGTTCTCATTTTCAGTTAAGGTCCTGAATCCTAGTAATTTAAGCCCAAATGCAAGGTTTGAATTACAATTACACTTTGGCTACTGCTAAAGCAGATCAGGTAAGGAGATAGTGGCAGGAAAACAGGTAAAGTGGTTAGGTGGAGAAGTGGTTTTCAGCCCCGAGGACCTGAACCCTTGCCGTCTGGTCTCATCCCCAAGGACTGAATTGATCTGTGCTGCACTCGGACATTACTCCTCAAGTTCCCAGGTGATTTCTACAGTGTTTCGTGGTTATGAGTCAGATGGCTATCACGATCCTTTCTCTAGTGGAAATGTTAAAGTGCTGGTCTTTTAACCTATGGACTCTGAATGTGTGTATTTCTATTAGAGCATGCTGTAGGGAACAGTGCAGGGTTACCCAATAATCATGATTAAGATGTTTTACCTAGTAGTTTTTGCTCCAAGTTCATCAAGCAGTGTTACTTGAATCCCAGTGACCCTATTTTCAAAGTCCATTCAATTCTCGTGTTAAATCCCCATGTACTGTGGATTCTATCTCTAATAAAAGACAGACTTTTAAGAATTACGGTTAGCAAAAACTGTTCCCTGAGGCATTACTCATTTTTCCACATTCTAGAAAAAAGAAAATGCCATTTGGAAAAGCACTAGGATAGCCTGAAGTTCCTATAAATGTTCCTCAAAAACAAATTGTACAGTCTAATGTGCAGAGACTCTAATGTGAAATTCTGGCTCAAATATCTGTTACCCAGAGAGTTAAACCTTATAGTTGCCTTTCATAAGTAGAAGCCACAAAAGAACATTTCATTAATGACTAGAAATTTCTCTAATACTTTTTGCAGAGAACAGAAGTGGGATAGAATTTTGTAGCACTGGGCTTTCTCTCATCTTTAGGAAGACAAGCCTGTGCCAATTAACTTAAGACTTCTGGATCATGGTGGCACTATACTCATCAGTGGATTAATCTTCTGATGTTCACAGCAAAATGTCCTATTAGGAGGTGGGGCACAGCTGGAGGTGCCTTTGGAGGGTATCTCTCTTGCTGGTGGTCTTTCCCTGTGCTCTGCTTTCTGGCCACTATGAGAGAATAGCTTTGCTCTACCACACCCTTCGCCACGATGTTCCTGCTTTGGAGTCAGCTGATCACAGTCTGAAACCTCCAAAACTGTAAGTCAAATTGAACCTCTCTTCTTTGAGTATTTTGTCCCGTTGTTATGGCTTATATCTAGATGTCCCCCCAAAGCTTCATGCGCTCGCTCGCAGCTGGGGATTTGGGGGCAGTGACTGGGTCACTGGTTCTGTCCACTCATGGGTTTATAGCTGGGTATGATGCTAAGAGGTACACCTGGTGTGAGGAGGTGGGTCACTGTGGGTATGGCCTGGAGATAGATAAAAATATCTTTTTAAAAATCTGCCGTGAGTGCTGCTGCTTCCTGCCTACCATGCTATGAACTGTTTCTCTACTGCCATGCCACCCACCCTACCTTGGAACCAGCCAACTATGGACTGAAACCTCTGCAAACGGTGAGCTAAAATAAGCCTTTCCTCCTCTAAAATTTAGAATCGAGCAAATGCAGAATGATTTAACACGTTTACGACAGGGCCATGATTTGTCTCACTGCTGGGCAGCCTAAACCACTGGTGGTACATGCATGATTGTCCCGCTGGATGGCTTTTTATTAACTTTATCAGTTAAAAAGACCAATAAAAAGTAATTTAGATCTGTTTGTACCACCAGGGGTACAAGCCACCTGATGGCACAGTCAGTCATGCACGTACCAGCAGTGGTTCAAGTTGGCAGGAACATGCCAAACAGCAATGGCACTGCTGTGTGCTGTTGTATGAGCAGTGCTGCTCTGAAGGACAGGGACACTGAGCTAAAGTGCTCTGAGCCTGTGAAGACCTCCTGGATTGGCATGCAACTAAAACAAGGCTAAAACTAAAACAAATAGAACAACCTTAAGGCCTGGGATTTAGCTCAGGGGTTCCGCCGCCTACCTAGAAAGGGAAAGGTCCCAAGTTCAATCCCCGGTACAAAAAAAAAACCTTAAAATTTTCAGTTTACAGACTGTACCTCAGGAGGTGACCATAACTCGTTACCAGCTGGATCCAAAATTTGTCACAAGTATTCTGTATGAGAACAATGTAATCACTATTGATGCAAATTTCTTCTCAGACTTAGAATGATGTAGACACAGTTGATTGTGGCTTATTTATTTGAAAAAGATACTAAAAATGAATCCTTATTCCATAGACCTGAGAGTAAATAAATGGGGACCAACTGGATCTAAATCCTGGCATGAAAAAGTGCCTGAATTTTCAATGCAGGGCCAGCAGCTAGTGTTACTGCTGTCCTTGTGGTTTTAACAATAGAAATTATCACTGTGGAATTGTTGTGCTGGTAATTTCCGGAAAGAAGAAAACTGCAAATTATGAGAAGGCTGAGATAAAGGAAATAGGTAAAATGCATAGAGAACCCAATGCATAATGAACTATAATTTGAAGATTAACCACAAGGGAAATTAGCAAAAGGATTCAGATCACAAATGCATGCACACGGGACAAAATGATCTTTGAGTATTACTACATTATTAAAGTCATATATTTGGTAATGCTGCTTAGAGGATAGGTTTCTCTATTACAATCTTAAAATCTGACTATAAGGGTCTTATCTATGCAGATCTAAAATAAGACCAAGAACCTGGACTGCACAGTTAAAATACATGCGTAATATTGAAGTGTATTAAATATTCTTGGACAGTAGTCTGAAGGACACTGTCTCATTTGTGACTCAAAGGTGCCTATTTGAGTCTTGCATAATAAACATTCTTTAGAAATACAAAATATTTTTAAATTGACATTTAAGATTTAGAATTTGAACATATTTTTTTCAAACTGAAATTTCATTAATCTGTCACTAAATTAAAAGATATTTCTGAAGCATGTATTTTCATGCAAATAATTCCTTTTCTTTGTTGGGGGGGGCGGGTACTGGAGATTGAACTCGGGACCTTGCACTTGCCAGGCAGGCAGTGGCACTGAGCTACATCCCCAGCCCCAAATAATTCTCCTTTCAATAAAACACACAAGCTGAAACATTTTAGTAAATCAAATTCTCTACACTGTGCAGTTTCCTTAAGTATAAACTTTATTTCAATTAAAGGCAGCAGAAATACAAAATAAGAGGTTTTGATAATTATAAAGTAGAGACAATCTCACCCTATTAATTTTCAGACCTTTAGAATCTCAAGCATTCTATTTGGATGGATTTTTATGTAAACAGCTAGGAATTTACAAGACACGAGGTCTTGGCAACTCACCTTCTCTGAATGCTGTATAACCCCATCACCACAAACTAAATTTTCAATTTCTTCAAAGTGCTGTTACCACAAGAGCACTGAACTACAGAGTAATTTAAAAAGACTATACAAACTAAATTGTAACGTCTTCATTACCTCAGATTACTACTTTCATCAACCTGATAGAACTGCAACCGTGAATATACCTCAGTTCTCTCTTATGCTTCAGTGGGAGACAGGTTCTAACCTCAGTGACCTTCATTCTTAAGCCTGAGCATCTCCATGCTAAGCTAATTAGTACTTCTTAAAGCTTTATTCTTTTATAACATCTGGGTAACAATAAACATTTAAAGTCATAAATAATGCAACATTAATTACAGTGACATGATTCATTTGGTAATCAGTTGCCCAAGATATACAGAGGAGTCAACACAAACAGGTTTAACAACATGCTTTCTAAAAAAAGGGAAACATAATTAAATATTTCAGGGATATTAAAATAGTCCGCCATTCCGTTCAGCGAGTCTACATCCCTCATCTGATCTCAGCCTTGTCCTCTGAGCAAAGGCATCTCACAGTGATGACTAAGTCTGATTTTTAATCATACACATTTTACACCTAAATGCAGGCCAACTCTCTATGTACACAAAACCATGTAAACAGTACTTTTAGGTGATAAAGGTAATTCCGACTACTTACACTTCTTGCACCAGATTCCACTGTAACACGTTTTGAAACTTAATCCTATTCTGTTGTATTTATCTTCCCAAAGATTGTGTCCTCGTTTGAAGAGTTGATGCTTGGTAAGTCCAAAATCCAGTTATTGCTGAGATTTCTGTCACTGAGGTTGCGTTGTCTTGATGGGGATAACGCTATTAAAGTCCAAGAAAAAAGGTCCTTCTTGTTTAGGCAAAAAAGTACTGGGAATGATATTAAAGATCCCAGCCGGTATGTTTTCTAATTCCAGGTAGCAAAATCCACACCTA